AAAATATGTAACATCTGTTAATACTTACTTATTCACAAAAGGTTAAAACCACGACCAGCAGAATAAAGGTAAGTTGATAATACCATGCTTATTTTCTAACCTGACAATTTCCTGATACTAATTGTGGATTCCTTTCAAAATACAATAGGAGCACCAGGTTAGACTTTTGTCTCACTGACTGATCAGGCAATGCACAAGTAAAATCTTCAGGAGTGAAAACTGTAGAAAAGGATGCTCTGCACTGCATCCTTTTGTATTTCAAATGCCATTTCACCGAGGGAAACAATATACTAATGCACAATGCACTCTATCTAGAAAATGCTTCAGAGAGTGAAAGGAGGAGAGGAAAATAGTTCAAGAAGGCCATGTTCTTCATACTATTAAATACTTTTTCTGACAACAATGGAATCACACCAGCATAAACCTAAGTGTGAATCCAGCTCTGAAAGAGCTTTTCTGGTATACGCTACTCAAACACATGAAAACTTTTCTGCCATAGTCTGGAGATACTGGTCATGTTTTGCATCAGTGTTCCATTATTTTCTTTCTAAGTCAAAGAACCCCAAGACAGCTTTCCTTCATCCTTAAACAATAGTAGACAGTATTCTGATACTTTCAAGAAGACTGTAAGACCAATCTAATAGTAAGTAAAGTCTGCAGCTCTTCCTTTCATTCTATCACTCTCTGTTGTCTTCTGCTACAATCAAAGTGAAAAAAACCTATCCTGGTGGGAGGTTATGAAGCTGAAAATGAAGGAAGCAGAAAGACACCTGAGGAACTCTTAGAATATTCATCTGAGATGGAATAAGCAACAGATATTGAAGGTAACACTAGGATGTCTCTTGATAAATAAGGCTTGTGTTGGTTAAAAGAAAAAATACTGAAAATCTTGATTTCAGTGAATTTTTGTTTCATCACATTTTGAAATAGAACAGCCTAGAATTTATATTTTATATATATATTTATATACCGTATTTTATACAGTATTATATATATTTACATTTATAAATTATTCACTATATATTTAATTAATTACTTATATATATTTACATTACATATATTTTATATATATTTAATATTTAATATTTAATATTTATATTATATTTATATATATATATAAGGCAATGAGTATTATTGCCCAACCAGAGATATGACATTGAAGGGCTGGCCCTCAGAAGAATCAGCTTTGAGGGAAAAAATATGCTCAGTTCTGTATCCTCTTATCTTGAAGACAGAAAAATACCTGTCAGACTTTCCATACTGAATATAAACAGCAGACATACTTTAACTTATGTGCATGTGTGGTCATTCAGACTGATTTGATTCCCTGTAGGAAAAAAATACTTCTCTTTCAGTGTCCTTGCTTTGGGCATCTTCAGATTATTTTTAAATCATTTGGTCAGTTTCTATGTGTTCTCCATCTTTTCAAATCACCCTTCATCTAAATAATTAACAAACAATAGTTCTCAGAAGATGGAAATGACTATATAAGCTTTAAGATTTCTACAACAATCACCATAATCACCTTTGTAAAATATTTTAAGAAGAGTGATGCACACAAATTTTGCTGAAGTTTTCAAATTCCCAGAAAAATTGTACTTCCTGTTCTGAAAAAATCCTCTCTTTAAGTTCATTCTACATTTTTGTCCTTAATAGAAATCTTAATATTGAAACAATATTTCCTCTTGAGACCAAAGCTAGAGAGGACAATGCATATAATAGTCAAATCCTGTGAAGATTGTGAGATTGCACCATGTGTAGCTTTCTAAGACCCAGTGACCTATTAGCTCATATGAACTCACTTCAGATGCAGGTTACCATACTTAGGCAAGTAAAATGGTGCAACAAGTTTATTTGGCAAAAATGCGTATACAAATCTACAGATTCATGTTCTGATATTAATTGATTATTATCTAGGAATTTTTGCAGCTATAACTTTAAATACGTGGAACAGGTCAGAAAATACAGTCTAAAATACAATCAACTATATTATCTGGCATTTTGACCTACATTCAGTAATAGCTAAATTATTACTTTCTTGTAATGATGAAAATTCAATAGTCATAGGGTAAAGAGAGCAAAAAAAGCATGTTAGAAAGTGTTGCTACACTGTTATATGTATTCACATATAGCCAATGTTTGACAGGTTTACATTTACTTCATTTTTCATTGGTGAGTGCATGCTATTCTCTTGGTATTTGTTGCAAGTATTTATTTTCAAATCTTCACTATAGTTGCCTTAGTGATTTTGGTGCAAAAATGCAATACTAAATAGGGCTATAAATTTAAAGAGAAGTAATTCGGTCTCATCAACATGACAACATCTTTGTCATGAGTGCAAATATGCTCAGACAGAAAAAACCCCAAGAAATACGCACCTGTTCCTGCTCATTAGATTAGGCCTGTATTAAACTATACTACTACATTTTGAATGAATATATTTCATTACCAGTCAATATACATTTCTTGTCATTAGCAGTCATTAAGTAATAATAATAAAGTTGGGAATGACCAACTGAGAGGTTAATGCACTTCAGGCTGCACAGCGCAGGACAGCAGTGTCAGGTTAAAAATGGTACTGTTTTTGCTGCATAAAGGGATATGTACTAAGCATTTCCAAGAGATGAACACAACTACTTCTTACAGAATAGCACAGTGAGACGAAAGAAGTTGTTGTATACAGTTTTTTCTTCCAAAATACTACTTGCAATCAAACAAACAGGACAATGGCAATACTATCAGAGAAGAAGAAAAAAAAATAATGATATTTTTATCATATTCATTACTGGTTTGTCAAGGTAAAGGTGACTTTATTTTACCACCTTCAAATGCTGTATGTGTTATAAAAACAAGTCACACCATACTTCTTACATCTATGATATTTTGCAAGAATGGATTCTGATTTTGTTAACTATAATGACAGAGTTGATTTAACATCTCTATATATTTATATATTTCTTTTATATATTCATATGTTTAAATATTTTAGTGGTTTCTTTTAGAGATTTGAGAGTATTCATTAATGATGAATCATAATATCTAAGAATAATAATAGATATTCATTTATCTAAGTCTGGGATTCATTAATGATAACACAGCAGTCTTTAATAGATGAACAGGTTAATCACTGTATTAATTAGTTATTGTTCTCATTTCTGTAGTTGCAACTGTTACTACATAGTATTTGTGAACTTTGCTTACAGTTAAACAAATGAAGGACTGTTTTCTAAACACCCATCACTTCTGGGAACTTCTGGCAAGTGTTAAGTTGTTATAAAAATGTCTTTTCTCTTTGCTGGACATTATAAATGCTAACTAGTCTCTAACTTCTGCTATAGTCTGAATATATTCTGTTCCAAATGAAAAGAACACTTCAGCAAACACTCCAAATTTTAGGATGCTTTGAAGTGTTCCGTATACCTAAAAGAACACATTTTCAACCACTGTCTCTGAAGGAGTGCATCCAACAGCAAGTAAATCTTCAATTCAGTTACTGGCTCTCATAGTGGAAAACTCCTTCCTTTCTACAAAAAGCCAGAGAAAGCAAGAACAAATTAGAAACTTCTCATCAATTAGGCAACCCGTGGCTGAGTTAGGTATTAAGCTATTATTTTAGGTAGTCTTTTTGAGACTCGGTCACAAAACAATCCATCCTTCTGCACAAAGTGTCATGTGATGGATAGGGTAAAGATGGAGAACACCTGTATACCACAGACACTTTAGTCTCTCTTGATTGACACTCTCACCTAGTCTTTGAATTGATATTGAGAATGCAGACTGCATAGATCCCTGAGGGATACAACAAATGAGGACACTTTCACGGAGGAGCAGGTGTCAATAGTGACAATCATTTCAGTGCAATTGCACTAGCTGTACCATGTTTTTATGGTGAAACAGAATTTTATCATTGACCGTATCAAATGCATAGGAAAATCCAGCTGGGTTAATGTTAATGCAATGCAATATAAATGCTCAGTGATGCAAAAAAGACTAAATTCAAAGAAGAGAAATATCAGCTAATTTGAGCTGCGTAGGCTACATAAACATTCCAAACAGTCATCTAAGCCAGCAAAATCTCAAACAAAAGGATTGTTCTTTACCTTAAGAGGAGATATGTTGCTTTTACTTAAACAGAAAAATTCAGGAGGCTAAGGTAACAGCTTCCAGTGATGTCTTGCTGTTATTATTTCTGTCTACTCAGTTTTCCATACATAGCAATTTTCTTGTTTGCTCTTGTCACAGGTGACAAGCCATACAGATTCACTGGACTAAATATTTTCAGTCAATCACATTACAAGCTATGATTAACAAATAGCCATATTGATTCGACTTACATTCTGTACCACTGCTTTTTGATAAAATGGACTGAACTGGAATTAGATAGAGCCATTGACTTTCTTGGCTGATGAAAATTATGTTTTTCCTTGCACATATACAGGAAGGAGAAGAAAATGTTCAATGTATGTTCAACCTGTACTTTAAATCATCTTCATCTAATTAAAAATAAAATAATCATGTAGTTTATGTTGTTAGATATCACATAGATATCTAACATGATAGATATTATGTTAGGTAAAAAAAATAATGTGGAAGAAAATCAAGCTTCTTCTCTCAGATGATACATCCAGATATAACGAGATAAGCCTACTTTTGGAAACAGAAACAAAAGTAAGAAAAACATGTAGACAATACTGAAAGCATTGTGCTTTGAAAAGGCTATCTTTTCTCTTTGAAACAAAATGAAGAAACAGACAATTTTACCTAGCTGTGTTCAGTCACAAGTCTAGATATTTAATATGCCATATACATTCAAATAGAGAGTTGACAACTATTCAAGTTAACATCTGGTTAGGATCCTATGTCACAGCCCAAGTTGCACACAATATTTGTTAAAAGTGCAGACAATAAAATTTTCCCTAATATTAGAAAATGTTGAATTTTGAACCAATGGAAATTCATAATAAAAATATAATCTTACTGCAAATGACATATATTCTTACCTGTGTATTTTATCTTGACCAGAAGGGACTACACCCAGGTTTGCTGCCTTCATGAGTCTCTCAATTATTACACGACCAGTAGAGTTCTGTGGAGCAACATTTATGGTAGCAGATGTCTCATTCATTCCTGTCAGCATCCCTGAAACATTACATATTTCATTATGAATACTTTAAGATTTGTTTGCTTACCACGCATAAAACCAAAGCAAGATTTCTAAACAAACAAAAACATGCATTAAAAGTTAAATAATATGTTGAGAAAGTAATTTTATTTGAAATTACATAACTACCTCAGTTTAATGTATTATTTGACAGGCCATATTACTAGAAAAAAAAATTATTAGAAACATGACAATCATATGTGTTTACTAATGCAACTGTGAAATCAGGATGGTTCTTTTTCTCAAAAAACATAACGTAGAAGAAGAATGTAAACACATTAGTGAAATATTAGGAAAGACTGTTTTAGAAGAGTCTTAGAAACTCTTATGCAAGGCCATATATAAAGACATCTTCTAATCTTTCAATCAATCATAAAATCATCATACATAATTATAACTTAATATCATGTTGCAAAAAATAAGCCTGAAGTTTAGACGGTAATCACCAGAACAATTTAGTTCATGAAGGTAAAGTCATCATGTTAGAAACTGGGAAACTCAGTTAGCACCTCTCTCTTTTCACAATAAACTTTTTGATTAAAATAATTTTAATATTACTATAAATGAAACAGAAGTATCAAGATTCCATGAAGGCATATGACAAAAAAAAAAAAGTAAAGAACGAAGTGTTGTTTAGAATCATTTTAACAACAACAACAAAAATGCAACATTTTCTCCCCTATTAATATTCATTGGTTATAAGAATAATTTGTGGGATGCTTATGTTGATTAAAATCCAACAAGAACTACACTGTAGCAATGTGTGTGTATTTTTATATTATGTTCAGAAGCTGAAAACACAAACAATAGAACACAGTGCTTTTGGAAGAACTATCACATATCTGTAATCAACAGTAACATTAATAATAGAAACAATGCAAAACTCTCAAAAGCCTAACATTGTAGGCTTTTGGGCTGTACACACAGTTCAAACCCATAGCAAATGACACAAAGTGCTGAGTATAGCAATTAAAAAAAAACCCAACATTTTAATGCACTAGAATGAGCATTAGCTGCTGTTACAATATAAGAAGTATCAAAGTAAAAATTGAACAGCTTATGAGTAAATAATGGGATATTTTTGAATGTGATCTGCACTTGAAGGGAACAAAAATAAGCATGCAACTTCTATAAAAATCAGCTTTATCTTGGGAATGGTACATTCCGTTTCAAGTTGTTTAACTTCACTATTAGGGAAAAGCTTTAAAAAATACATACGCAGACTAGAACAGCTTTTAAGCAGAGCACGGGGACTGACATAACACTGCTGAGAGATGTGTGTACTCATTTAGGATTTAAACCTTCTCCATTAAGCTCTATTGAAGAGCAAATGCTGAATAAATGAATGCAACTATGTTTATGTTAAAAGCCTGTTTCCCGCAGCATGTAATTAAAGGAAATGTTGTACAAAGCCAGTACTTTTGTCAACCTCCTGTAAATGGAAAGATGGATAGCACTCAGAGAAGTGAATGCATTGCTTCATATTTAACCTTAACACTCTTGTCATTAATGGTTTGTCTAACTTGTTCTATAAAAGACAAGGTACTGCTCCATTGAAGTAAAATTAAAAAAATCAACTAAACCATGCTTTTCAGAACAGAAGATTCATTATCGTCGACTAATGTATTGGCATAAAGCAAAGTAACATCCTATCAAGTAAGGCACACATTCAATCTGCCTTTCCACCCCCCTTTATTTTTAACTCATGCTGTTTTATTGTTATAGGCAATTTGTACCACTCAGCATGACAGTGTAAACTGAATCAAGATTAATTTACATGCAAAAGAACACTTAGGAGAGCAGCATGGTAAGCAAATGTATTGTCTCGATTGCTGAGGTGGAAAAGAACCTGGAAAGAAAAAAGGGTGCTCTAATTAAGGGGCATCAAATATGATTGCTTGTGGTAGTCAAGGACCAGAATGTCCAACCACTTAAAGAATTAGCATCTTGCTTTTTAGGAAGATAAGCTGGATGCGTAAATTTTAATAAAATTATGAAAACAATTTGTTTACTCAACCAAGTTTCTTTTTTTTTTTTTTTCCCCCTTAGAGTACATACACTTTTACACTTCCTGAAAACAATTATTTTAAAACATGTCAGTAAATAGCGTGGGTGGAAATCCTTATACTTGAAATAGTTTTAGTTGGCTATTTTGAAATGATATTTCATTGTCATAAAAATTCAAACCAATCCCGAAATTTAACAATTACATACTACATTTAATACTGCTTGAAACATTAGAATCTAAGAAAACTCTAGTTAGAGAGCAGCAACTGATCTGGTTTAGCTAACTGATAAATTGAAATAACTACACATTTTTAATGGTAAAAGGAAATAAAATTGGAAAAATTATACTGGCAGAGAACAAGGTATGTTTGCTACCAGATTAGTCCTATTCTGAATCAAGCCCTTGAGGATTTTTTCTATTGATATTTACAAAAGCAGATTGGTAAAAATTTGGATACAGAGATCCCAGCAGTACATGCCTGACTTCTACCGAATTCCCACTAAACAAGCCCAGCTTTTCTGGAGGACGTGGTGCGATAGGATATGAAATCCTCAGGCCTGAAGTAAAAATATTTAACCAGAGGGGTAAAAAGTATTTTAAATACTATTTTTACCCACTGCTTCTGAACTGTCAAAACATGAACGTTAGCTCAGCAGCAGCTCTGGGGCATTACCTCACAGGAGGATCCGCCAGTTCAGGAGGAGAGGAAAGGCAACGTGGTGTAAGCAAGGCTAAGCACACCATGCACAGCATGTGCACAAATACTGCTTTCGAGGTTTGCTGCTGCCACTAGATAGCCTTCACAGCTATGAATATTCAATAACCTGTCCATTTCCCTCTCCTTATGCCATCAGGGATAAAATGAAAAAAACACAGATGTAACAGACAATGCAAAACAGCACAGTGTAATTGAGTAAAGATATGAAGCAATGAATTGTCTTCTGTGTTTCAGTACAGTGCTGGGTATTTCTCTTTAGCATTCTGATTAGATTATACACACAATTTTGATGTAAAAATCCTTAAAACCTGTGCATTCTCTCATTCTCCCCCAGTACAGTCTTGTGTTTCTAATACTCTCCTCGTTCCTTTACTGTTTTTTTCCCTATTTGTTTTGGTTGCAAATAAAATCAGGCATTTCCTATTATGAGGCTTGAAGCATCTCATGTCCAAAAAGACAATAAGTAAATAAATAAACAAACAAATAAATGAAAGCATGATAAGCAAAAAACAAGTTCATAAATCGGATTTATTTGGAGAATATAGACACATGGAAGTTAAACGCAAAATAGAATAATGCATACTAACTTCTAAACTGCCCTGCATTTATTACTGCAATTCAGATTTTTCATTTAGCAAGAGCACACAGTAATTCCCTTCAAATACTAGCTGGTCCTAGATACCTGTAATACTTAGGTAAAATTTGGAATGGAGACCTCTATTACTAGGAATATTCTGAAGCAGCTGATATCTGTAACAAAAAGAAAAAAATAAAAATAAAAGCAACTGCAAGGGTTTTTAAACCTGTGGTAAATTTGCCAGCATCAAGTCCTGCATCAAAGAATGAATTCAGGGAGACAGAGAGAGCAATACAGAAATGCCAAGAGACCTTCATGGATTTACAAATACTTCATATAAACAAATTTTCAAATAGCTTTATTCAGAGTAGCCTTTCTGCTCTATTAAACATAGCAAACAGCTGCCAGATTTATTCAGACAAATAATCAACAACCATAGAAGTAAAATGGCAGAAGAAAAAGGAATTTTGGCAACAACTCCACAGAGGAACACAGCTATTCTCCAAGTACCCTTCTTCTATGTGCTCGTGGTTCTGTATGGCCAGTCAGGAGGAAAAAAAGCCCTCAGTCACAGCAAAATGTACAAAAACTCTATCCAAGTATCTCAAAGCAAGCAAATTTAAAAACATGGGGAAAGGACCACAGTAACCTGCTTTTCTTTCCCTACAATCGCAACTACAAATTTTAGAAGGGAACGGTTTAAAATAAATGTGCTACAGCCTCATTCAATCACTCACCTTGGGTTGCTGAGCAGGTATAAAGCAGAGAGGCAGGCTTTAGCAAGCAAAGGGTAAGAACAGCAGATAAGTATAAATGGGTTAAGAAAACAAAGCACAACCCAAACTTTTCATTGCAACAGTAAGCTTAACTGAAAATAATCTAGGCAATATTTAAAATACTTTCTTAATCATTCAAAAAATACAAATACAAGAAATGCTCTAAAGCAATAATTATTAATACACGGGCTTACTCATTGGTGTTCTCGACTGCTTGATGGATACACTGAGTTTCTGAGCCTTACACAGCAACGAGACAGGATCCCACGGGTATATTCTTATCTCAATGTAGAAAGATTTACACATGTAAATCCCATACACTGACATAGATGAATGAGTAAACACTGTTGCATTTGAATGCATCCAAAATGCAATTATTTATATTCTAAAATGTCCAGGAACTACATTCAACTTAAAAGTAGTAGTATGGAATGTTCCGTTTAACTCCCACTCTCCTACCTAACTACAGTGTTTTCTGATTATTTTGTATAACATAATTTGAGTTATAATTGAGCTCTCATGGAGGTTTCTGTTTGAACTAAGAGAAAAAACTTATTCTTTAAAGATACAAACATTAAAAGAATTCCTGCTCAAGTATATATGAAGACAAGAATACTGTTTCTATATGAAGTGCTTAAAGGAAAAATATGAAAATTTCAAGTAATTGAAGAACAAATACAACAATGTTATTTAAGAGCAGCTTTGGAAAAAAGACTAGTAAATACAGATAAGAGTATCAATATGTATTTGATTAACTTCTGGAAGTTCCAACTTTTTTCTTTTCTGCAAGCAGGAAACAATATATTTCATCACAGAAGACAAAACTCTAAGCCAAAAGACTGTTTCAGGGTGAAGGGTGATATCTGTGTTTTTAAAGGCATACTGAACACCTGTCAAATAGCACTGCATGTCCTTTTAAAGATATTTTTAAATGAAATCATTAGCATCAGACTGAATACTTATAGAGACTAACACAAGAAGCTACACTAGAAGGACTTGCTATACACTTGGAAACTGAAAGCCACACAACCTCCTCTCATCCAAATACATCTACTGAAGCTTCTAAAACAGTATTTCTCACCTTGCTCCTTTTTAAAGTCTTTCTCTGACATAGTGACAGGCAAAAGCAGTTCTCCAACAGGGGGCTGAATGCTAACACTGAAATGATCATCCTTGGTGCTGGGAAAAGAGAAATTACAGAGAATCAATGAAGTGCTTCAAAATAGATTTATACATATCAGCTATGAGATCTATAAACAGTGTAAAAGCTACTAGTTTGATTTCAACCTTGTTAGCCCCCAAAGTCTGCTAATTTCTAACATCAGTAAAGTTGATTCATATTCTCCAGTACAAAGATAGTATTAACACAGAATGCATATTACCATATTTCTGAATTAGTAACTTTCATTCATATTACGGTTAATTTTCAATCTACATAAACTATATACTTGCAAGATTATGCATTTTACAGTTCTTTTAAAGTAAATGTCATTAATGAATCCTGTTGTTAGCAATAGCTGTCCATGAAATAGGACCAATTCTAGCAAAGACTGAAGTTACTATTATGGTTCAAAATGTTAAAATCAAAACAATTGGGAGTGGAAAAAAAATAATTTTGCTTTTGTAACATTTCCCATATTTATATACAAACACAGCAGAATGGCTGACTTAAAAGCACACTGGAAAATGGGAGAGAATTTAAAAAAATTTTACTGCCCTTGGGGCATCCATGAGCCCTGATGCAGCTATGTGTGCTCAAATATGTAGCAAATGTGATTGCAAGGTCACTCTCTAATCTTAGCTCAGTCATGGAAACTGGGAGAAGTGCCTGGGACTGGAGGAAGGCAAATGTCACTCCTATCTGCTTCACCTCAATCCCTGGGAAGGTGATGGAACAACTCATCCTAGAAATCATTTCCAGGCAAATGAAGGAGAAGAAAATAATGAGGAGCAGCCAGTATGGACTCAGCAAGGGGAAGTCATACTTGACCAACCAGATGAGCCTGACTGATGAGGAGAGAACAGTGCATATTGTCTTCCTGGACTTCTTTAAGGCCTTTGAGGCTGCTCCTCTAAGATCCCCATAGAGAAGCTGTTAAAGTGTGGGCTGCATAGGCAGTCCAGTGAAGTGGATCAAAAACTGGCTGAACATCAGGGCTTAGAGAGTAGAGATCAGTGGTAAAAAGTCTAGTTGGAAGCCAATAATGAGTGGGGTGCCCTCGGGATCAATACTGGGACCAGTCCTGTTTAATATCTTCATTAACAATCAGGACTATCATTAGTAATTACTGGAGGTCTTCAAAAGCTACCTGGAAATGGTCCTGGACAATCTGCTCTGGATGTCCTTGCTTTTGCAGAGGCTGGACAAGATGGACTCTCTGCTACCTGTTGTCAAATTGCTCTCCACACCCATTCAATTTTGTAAGTTTACAACTATTCTGCACTGGGGTTTTCCACGTCCACAGAAACTTCACTATGTTTGACTGACTAAATATAGCTTACAGAATTCAGCTAGCAATTCAGGATCAGCATATTCAGTCAGAATCTTTACTACAGCTTAGAAGCATGAGAAATTTTTGGAAAAGAGCACCTTTTATTTTGCTGTTGTACTAAATGGTCAATATATATTGATTGCTGATATGCCTCAGATACCCTACTTAAATATAATGATACAATCATTAGAATGGAAAATATGTTTGATCGACAGTATTTAAATTAAGTTCTAATATGTTACTGTTTTTTTTCTTTTAAAAATAACTTTGCAACTTTAAAGTTTTGGAATAGAATTGACTGATGGAAGGAACAGCACTAGTGATTAATGCAGAAAACATGTGTTTCTTCATCCTCCTAAAGATGCAAGATAAGCCACTTGAAAACTGGAAAACATTTGATGTTCCTATTACTAAATTTCTAAAACTTAAATACTTACCACAGTTACCCAAATTCACAAGCAAATGTATTGGTACTAACACATTCATTTTCTATCTTTAGATAGGTTATAATTATGCTTATGCATGTAATCTCTATATGGGCTTTTCAAATAAAATTCATCATTTTGTTGACTGATAATTATTATTCAGTAAGTGTACAGTGAAACAATCCCTCAGTATTATTCCTTTTACAAAGAATCCCTTATTAAACGGTTCTTTAAAAAGTAGCTATGCTAAGAAATATTCACATTTTTACTCCTGTATTTCTTAAATATTATCCACCTCTAAAGTCATTAACACACTAAAAGATCAGGGATAGGTTGATTTGCTGGCAGGATTAAGTGCATTGCAAAAGTAGCTTCTTGATTTTTTTATTTTTTTATTTTTAACTGATCAAGAATTCTAGTGGCTGAAAAGCTGAAGGAAGGTTCTTTCATCAGCACTCCATAATTTTTTACTGTTTATTTACATCTATACTGCTTACTGTAGTACTAAAGCTTTTAATGGTACTTTAATTAGTATTATTCATTTCTCCAGCCTATACCATATCTCATATTTAAGCAATATGTGTGTTAAATAAAGTCAGCATAAAGCAAAATAACAACTCTTTGTAACAATGATTTGTGCCCTATATTGTCTGGACATGCCATTTGTACATAAACTTGAATTGTAACTTCTGTAATTAGATTCCTCTGAAATGCTTGTTACAGACTTTTCACACTAAGAGGAAATGCATGAGCATTGTTTGGATTCTGAAAAGTCCACACACTATTCTGCTGCTAAAAGGCAAGCCACTTCCTTTCCCCTAATGATTACAAGTTAATTCATATTAGTTGATAAACAGTGAACAACTCACAGTCTGCAGGCAGAAACTGATTGCTGGTTATTCTTTAAAAACACTTTGTTTTTAATGTCACTTTAGTCAACATCTAGTTTACTTTGCATTACTTTGATTTCAGAATAATTTCATAATTATTCTGAAATTCATTATTTCACAAATTTGTAATTTCACAGTAAATTTACTTTTTAGTCTTTTAATAGTCTCTATCACACACGTCACAAATTAAATACAGAGATTTTATTTATTGATCTGCATCTCTTCTATTATATTTTTATATTAGAGACGCAGTCATATCTCATTTAACGAAAGTAATTTCATAGTTCTATAATTCAGGTTGGGAGAAGCCTCTTGAAATCATCTGGTTCTATCTCCATCTCAGTGCAGGGCCACCTTAGCTCACATTGCTCAGGACCTTGTCCATTTGAGTTCTGAATACTTCCAAATATGGATATTAATTACATCAGATATCTAATGGAAGTAATAATAAAGTTGAGTCATGCAGAACAACAGTGAGCAATGTCCCCAAATATCTAGTTAACAAAATTCCAGCATATTTAACTTATTTATTCATACTTTGGATATTAATTGGTATAAATAATGTTTAGATAAAAATCTGAAGAAATGGCTCAAAGATTGAGCGTGTTAATGTAGAAAAAGTGTGGCAGAGAACTGGATAAAATTGGTTAAAGCTGCACTGAAACACCTCTTAGGTAGTGATGCTCTAATTTTCCTGAGAAATCAATCTGAAGAAGCTTATCAGAAAATAGTTTCTCAAGCCACTAAAACAATGTTTCTAAATTTCAGAACTTCAAGATTGCATTTTCTGATATTAGCTAGTAAAATCTCTAAGATACATCCTTGTTGAAAAACTTATTCTTAAGAAAAAGTCTGTAGAAGAAAGCTCAAAAAGAATCAAACAGACAGGGATGTTTGAGAACAATATCTCACCACTACATAGCAGTGTCTTTTTTGGTTTGAATTGCAAATTTACACAAATAGTCAGGCATCATTATGCTTATTGTTGCCTTAATAACCGATAAACTATAAATAATATATTTTTAAAAGACTTCTTCTTTTAAAAAACTTTCATGATATAATTCAAAGGATCAAATGAATTTATGTTTTGATGTATTCAGTGAAGATGAAGAAATGAAAGGTGATAACACCAGCTCTATGACAGATGACATTGCAAGACAAATATTAAATCCTATAGACAGTGCACAGTTTTAACTCTCCTTCATATGGATGCAGTGGGAATAGCTAGCCTCTGTCATTTGAAATTGATAACCATTCTCCTTATTCCTCTTCCTATTAAAAAAAAAAAAGATTGGCTACAAAAGGTAAACAGGGAGAAGTTCTCTCTGCCGTAACAAATGACCAGAGAAAAAAGTCCTCCTTAAAATATCCCCTTTAAAAAAATATAAAATCTTTAAAACTAATAGAAATAAGCACTCTTCAGATGGCAGTCTTAACTTTTAAAGCTTATTATTTTAGCAAGAAGCTGGGCAATAGTCTTCTTGCTACTTGCATGCTTCTCTTTCTTTTTAAACCCAGCAAAGCAGAGTGGTATATGCTTGACTGAGAACACATCTATGGAAAAACAGCTCATTATTTTTGTCTTATTTTCAAAAGATCTTCACAAATGATTAAAAAAAAAGAATGGAAGAGGTAGAACATCACACTAAATTCCTGAAAAAAAAAAAAAAAAAAAAAGTATGGGAGACTTTGCTCATTCACACTTGCTGAAGGAATAAAAGACATTCCACTTTTACATGAAAAAAATACTTGAGAAATAGAAAAAATCAGAGTACGTGTTCATGTCCAGCCTTGCTTTCTCTAGGTCAGTTATCTATCTAGATATATGTGCTTTCTGGAACTGGGCCAACTGACTACTTTAGAGTAATGAAGTAAAGAGAAGAGTGCAGGATTGCTTTTCTTAATATCTAACATCTGTAAACAACTTAGTGATCTGCTGACAAAGCATTAGGTAAGGAAACTGCAAGAAACAAGTAAAAATGCAATTGACTGATGTGAAGTCAGTCCTGCTTCTCTAACATTAACTTTTAATACATTCCATAACATATTCTACTACATAATTCTAATCATGATTTTGCGTATGCATGTAATTTGAATGCATTTTTACACTCAAATGAAATACTGACTGCTACCCAACAAATCCTCCTCATTTATTCTATTTTGCAGGTAGAAATTCTTCTTGAAGTGTGTACAGTAAGGTTAAACTCACAGAGAACAGATTAATAAGGCTTCCAAATTTATGGATTTCACTTCATTTAGTATACTGCTAGATTCTTCCTGCTATACCAACCCCTTCTACAATAGTCTGCAAAATACTCCTTCTACAGTCTGGAGTAGATAAGGAGAACAGACAGTTCCTTTCTCTTGTAATA